ATTATCCACCTTTGATGGAGGGATGCCCTGTATGTCCAGACAGAACAAGAGAGGAGGATTAAGGAACCATAACGGTAGGTGTCATTATATGACCTAGAATTTATGTATGCATTTTTTCTAATGAACATGATGATATTTCTTCTTTTCAGCCTTGTTTGCTTCATTTCTATCATCAAGGATCTGCACTAGCCACATAATTCCATGCAACATAGATCAAGTAGAATCCTTATTTAATTATACACGGTAACTGACAGGAGTCGGACGGTTTTGAAAAAAACAGTACTAGATATTCAACTCGAAATTTATTTATTTTTACATAAACAGACGTCAAGAGATGCTATCTGAGTTACTTATTCAGTTAAGAAAAAAATGTAATTTAGATGATGACCATCCTCTTGAACTCAGCTGAGGACTATGTAGCAACTGGGAATGGCCCTGTGTCATCCAACATTGAATCGTCGATGAAATAACTGTTCTGTTGCTATGATAGACTCACCTCTTTGAACAAAGCTGTCATAAGCAAACAAAGGATGTTGTATGTAATGTCCACTGCTTCATTGTGACTGAATTGGCATTCCAGTGTGGATGGGGGGACGCCTAGCTCGTTCGCCTCCCATCAACTTACTGTGTACTACCTGATCTATAAAGGCCGGACTCCCATCGGTCACCCTGTCTAACAGAACATAACTTTTTGGACACATTTTTGGCAAGTACCAATATGGGGTAGTAAAGCGCTTTTTTTGAAAATGAGTTTATATATTAGGTGTGCAATATGTAAGGATACCCACTAAACATAATGATTGGTAACTATAATGCATATCTGCTTTTTCTCCAACCTTCCATGGAAGCTCTTGATCAAACATTATATACTACAGTATACCTCTACAACAGATCGGTAAAAAACAAGAGAGTATATATTGTATACAAGAGAGGTATGATTAGGGGGTGTGATATTAAGAGATTATCCAACGCATTTTTTATGTCATAAAAGCATATATTACAGAGAAATCTAGAGAAAAAAGGAGGTGGCTTCTGGTCCATCTGATTCTATCAAGCCCTACAGGATTTTGGTTATACCTATAGAAAGATGCCATAATACATTTTTTGTGTAAGTTTATTATGTGGTATGAATATTATCAATGATAAATTAGTTATAAAATGATTGGTTGTAACATAGGTTTGCATAATTGTAGATGATAATTCTTATTCCTGTCTGAAAAAGCAGAGGTCATCTGTGAAATGCATTACAGTTCTAAAGTAATTAGATACAAATTGCCAGCATTCAAATTAAAAGAAGGATACGGTCTTGCTGCAAGGAAATTTAGCAATATGTTCTTTACAGGTAAAAGTTTCATTTGTAATTGTGATTATATTAGACAGTATCTACTGCTTTGTTACTTCCTAATTAACAGTATACACAGCTTTGCTGCTTCCTCCAGACTGTTCATCTTGGTAACATGCTATAGAACAAACAGAAAGTGCGCAAGCATTGTGTGACACTTGTTAAATGTACTCTTTTGCAAGTCATGCAGTTTCAGCTGCTACTATGCCCGCTGGAAATTTATAACTAGAGATGAGCGAAGAAATGAAAAATTCGATTCGACTGATTCAGCGAATTCGTGGACAATATTCGATTCGAGTCGAATAAATTCGCTGTGAATTTAACTTAAAAAAGGGTGTTTCTAGGCTTCAGAGAGACTTAATATTAGTGCAGAACACTGTACCTTTAATTTAAATGCCCCTTGGAGTCTGCTGGGGAAGAGAAATAATACTGTCAGTCAGTATGACATGCAGATGAGTGCCGTCGATCTTAGAATCACCGCACACTTCACTCATTTGGCCAGTCACGGGGCCAAAACCAGTGTTTGGAGCCACAGTGTGGCGGTGGAGGCAGCAGCAATGGGAGGCCATACAGCAACCTATGACAAAATGGAAACCAGCAGGAGTGTGAGGAGACCTGAAAGTGGCACATGCAGTGGGAGCAATGGGAGGCGGTACAAGGACCCATGTCACACTGTGGACCCAGCAGCAGCGTGACCAGGCGGTACGGGGGCCCATGGCAGATTACAGGCCTGGCAGCAGCAATGGGAGGCCCGTAATCTGCCAGCACCCTATGACAAAAAATGGAACACACCAGCAGTGTGTGAGGAGACCTGAAAGTGGCACATGGCAGAGTGTGGCGATTGAGACAGCAGCAATGGGAGGCCGTACAGGGACCCATGAGAGACTGTGGACCTGGCAGCAGCATGAGGAGGCGGTATAGGGGCCCATGGCAGATTAGGGGCCTGGCAGCAGCTATAGGGAGGCCGTAATCTGCCAGCACCCTATGACAAAAAATTGAACACACCAGCAGTGTGTGAGGAGACCTGAAAGTGGCACATGGCATGAGACACTCTGGACCTGGCAGCAGCATGCATGAGGAGGCGGTATATAGGGGCCCATGGCAGATTAGGGGCCTGGCAGCAGCTATGGGAGGCCCGTAATCTGCCAGCACCCTATGTCAAAAAATTGAAAACACAAGCAGTGTGTGAGGAGACCTGAAAGTGGCACATGTTTGGGGCATGATTCATGGCGGATTTAGTCAGTTGTGTCAGGAACTAGTGGTTTGAAATCCAGACTAATCCACGCCTGATTCATTTTCACAAACGTGAGTTTCTCCACACTTTGGGTGGACAGTCGTGTCCTCCGCGGAGTTGCAATACCTCCTGCCGCACTAAACACGCGCTCCGATGCCACGCTACTGGCCGGCATGACAGCCTTTCAAGGGCAAATTCAGCTAGTTGGGGTCAAAGGTCAAGTTTCGTTGCCCAGTAGTCAAGGGGATTGTCTACCTCGGTTGGCAGGGTGCTGTCCAAGTAGGCCTAAGCCTGTTGTTTGAGGTCCTGCTCCAGGTCCACCTGATGCTGCTGCTGCTGCTGCTGCGGCTGGTTAGTAGTTTCCTCACTGCGCTGGTGAAGAAAGCTACTCATCATCGACTGCAGACTGAGGCAGCCGCTGCTGGTGGAGCTGCCACTGCTCCTACCACCCCACCCCTCCCCTGCTGCCATGGCAGCGTAACGCGAGCGCACAGGGCCCACAGTGTCTGAGGATGGACGTTGGCGCAGAAAGGCAGAGACCAGCTGACTACATAGGTGGTTTTTATAGTACGTTATTTTGGCCTCCCTCTCAGCAGGTGTGAAAAAGGCCACCATTTTTGAACGGTAGCGAGGGTCCAACAAGGTGGACAGCCAAAAGTCATCCCTCTGTCTGATGGTTATTATTCGGCTGTCGCTACGCAAGCAAGCGCGAGCATGCTATGGGCCATTTGTGCCAAGGAATGCGAGGGACTCCCTACCTCCATCTCCACAGCATACTGCCACGGTGCGTCTGGGTCCTCTGTCTCCTCCTCCTCCTCCTCTACCAGATGCTCCTGCTCCTCCACTCCTGTCCGCTGAGTGGAAAAACCACCCATTTCACTCAATAATTCCTGAGCACCAATGTCCTCCTCTACCTCCTCCTCTTCTTCCTGTCCTGCCCCCACAGGGGTCATGTGGCGTTGAGATCTGTGCGCCACGTCTACCGCACCCTGACCAGCCATTGTTAACAGCATTTGTTCCAGGACGTGCAACAGAGGAATGACGTCGTTCATCCCATAGTCCTGCCGACTCACGAATAGCGTGGCCTCCTCAAAGGGCCTGAGCAAGCAGCAGGTGTCACGCATGAGCTGCCAATGGCTGACATCTAAGTTACACAGGGAGTACCTTTATCCGCTTTTAACATCAGGAAATCTGTGATGGCCTTTCGCTGTTCGTAAAGGCGGTCTAACATATGTAGGGTTGAATTCCACCTTGTTGCAACGTCACAGCATGAGGAGTCGGTACGGGGGCCCATGGCAGATTACGTGCCTGGCAGCAGCAATGGGAGGCCCGTAATCTGCCAGCACCTATGTCAAAAAATTGAACACACCAGCAGTGTGAGGAGACCTGAAAGTGGCACATGGCAGAGTGTGGCGATGGAGACAGCAGCAATGGGAGGCCGTACAGGGACCCATGAGAGACTCTGGACCTGGCAGCAGCATGAGGAGGCGGTATATAGGGGCCTATGGCAGATTAGGGGCCTGGCAGCAGCTATGGGAGGCCCGTAATCTGCCAGCACCCTATGTCAAAAAATTCTACACACCAGCAGTGTGAGGAGAGACCTGAAAGTGGCACATGGCAGAGTGTGGCGATGGAGACAGCAGCAATGGGAGGCCGTACAGGGACCCATGAGAGACTCTGGACCTGGCAGCAGCATGAGGAGGCGGGAGGCGGTATAGGGGCCTATGGCAGATTAGGGGCCTGGCAGCAGCTATGGGAGGCCCGTAATCTGCCAGCACCCTATGTCAAAAAATTCTACACACCAGCAGTGTGTGAGGAGACCTGAAAGTGGCACATGGCAGAGTGTGGCGATGGAGACAGCAGCAATGGGAGGCCGTACAGGGACCCATGAGAGACTCTGGACCTGGCAGCAGCATGAGGAGGCGGTATAGGGGCCTATGGCAGATTAGGGGCCTGGCAGCAGCTATGGGAGGCCCGTAATCTGCCAGCACCCTATGTCAAAAAATTCTACACACCAGCAGTGTGTGAGGAGACCTGAAAGTGGCACATGGCAGAGTGTGGCGATGGAGACAGCAGCAATGGGAGGCCGTACAGGGACCCATGAGAGACTCTGGACTTGGCAGCAGCATGAGGAGGCGGTATAGGGGCCCATGGCAGATTAGGGGCCTGGCAGCAGCTATGGGAGGCCCGTAATCTGCCAGCACCCTATGTCAAAAAATTCTACACACCAGCAGTGTGTGAGGAGACCTGAAAGTGGCACATGGCAGAGTGTGGCGATGGAGACAGCAGCAATGGGAGGCCGTACAGGGACCCATGAGAGACTCTGGACTTGGCAGCAGCATGAGGAGGCGGTATATAGGGGCCCATGGCAGATTAGGGGCCTGGCAGCAGCTATGGGAGGCCCGTAATCTGCCAGCACCCTATGTCAAAAAATTCTACACACCAGCAGTGTGAGGAGACCTGAAAGTGGCACATGGCAGAGTGTGGCGATGGAGACAGCAGCAATGGGAGGCCGTACAGGGACCCATGAGAGACTCTGGACTTGGCAGCAGCATGAGGAGGCGGGTATATAGGGGCCCATGGCAGATTAGGGGCCTGGCAGCAGCTATGGGAGGCCCGTAATCTGCCAGCACCCTATGTCAAAAAATTCAACACACCAGCAGTGTGAGGAGACCTGAAAGTGGCACATGGCAGAGTGTGTGTGGCGATGGAGACAGCAGCAATGGGAGGCCGTACAGGGGACCCATGAGAGACTCTGGACTTGGCAGCAGCATGAGGAGGCGGTATATAGGGGCCCATGGCAGATTAGGGGCCTGGCAGCAGCTATGGGAGGCCCGTAATCTGCCAGCACCCTATGTCAAAAAATTCAACACACCAGCAGTGTGTGAGGAGACCTGAAAAAGTGGCACATGGCAGAGTGTGGCGATGGAGACAGCAGCAATGGGAGGCCGTACAGGGACCCATGAGAGACTCTGGACCTGGCAGCAGCAGCATGAGGAGGCGGTATATAGGGGCCTATGGCAGATTAGGGGCCTGGCAGCAGCTATGGGAGGCCCGTAATCTGCCAGCACCCTATGTCAAAAAATTTCAACACACCAGCAGTGTGTGAGGAGACCTGAAAGTGGCACATGGCAGAGTGTGGCGATGGAGACAGCAGCAATGGGAGGCCGTACAGGGACCCATGAGAGACTCTGGACCTGGCAGCAGCATGAGGAGGCGGTATATAGGGGCCTATGGCAGATTAGGGGCCTGGCAGCAGCTATGGGAGGAGGCCCGTAATCTGCCAGCACCCTATGTCAAAAAATTCTACACACCAGCAGTGTGTGAGGAGACCTGAAAGTGGCACATGGCAGAGTGTGGCGATGGAGACAGCAGCAATGGGAGGCCGTACAGGGACCCATGAGAGACTCTGGACTTGGCAGCAGCATGAGGAGGCGGTATATAGGGGCCCATGGCAGATTAGGGGCCTGGCAGCAGCTATGGGAGGCCCGTAATCTGCCAGCACCCTATGTCAAAAAATTCTACACACCAGCAGTGTGTGAGGAGACCTGAAAGTGGCACATGGCAGAGTGTGGCGATGGAGACAGCAGCAATGGGAGGCCGTACAGGGACCCATGAGAGACTCTGGACCTGGCAGCAGCAGAGGAGGAGGCGGTATATAGGGGCCCATGGCAGATTAGGGGCCTGGCAGCAGCTATGGGAGGCCCGTAATCTGCCAGCACCCTATGACAAAAAATGGAACACACCAGCAGTGTGTGAGGAGACCTGAAAGTGGCACATGTTTGAGGCATGATTCATGGCGGATTTAGTCAGTTGTGTCAGGAACTGGTGGTTTGAAATCCAGACTAATCCACGCCTGATTCATTTTCACAAACGTGAGTCTCTCCACACTTTGGGTGGACAGTCGTGTCCTCCGCGGAGTTACAATACCTCCTGCCGCACTAAACACGCGCTCCGATGCCACGCTACTGGCCGGGCATGACAGCCTTTCAAGGGCAAATTCAGCTAGTTGGGGCCAAAGGTCAAGTTTCGTTGCCCAGTAGTCAAGGGGATTGTCTACCTCGGTTGGCAGGGTGCTGTCCAAGTAGGCCCAAGCCTGTTGTTTGAGGTCCTGCTCCAGGTCCACCTGATGCTGCTGCTGCTGCTGCTGCTGCTGGTGGTTAGTAGTTTCCTCACTGCGCTGGTGAAGAAAGCTACTCATCATCGACTGCAGACTGAGGCAGCCGCTGCTGGTGGAGCTGCCACTGCTCCTACCACCCCACCCCTCCCCTGCTGCCATGGCAGCGGAACGCGAGCGCACAGGGCCCACAGTGTCTGAGGATGGACGTTGGCGCACAAAGGCAGAGACCAACTGACTACATAGGTGGTTTTTATAGTACGTTATTTTGGCCTCCCTCTCAGCAGGTGTGAAAAAGGCCACCATTTTTGAACGGTAGCGAGGGTCCAACAAGGTGGACAGCCAAAAGTCATCCCCTCTGTCTGATGGTTATTATTCGGCTGTCGCTACGCAAGCAACCGAGCATGCTATGGGCCATTTGTGCCAAGGAATGCGAGGGACTCCCTGCCTCCATCTCCACAGCATACTGCCACGGTGCGTCTGGGTCCTCTGTCTCCTCCTCCTCCTCCTCTACCAGATGCTCCTGCTCCTCCACTCCTGTCCGCTGAGTGGAAAAAACCACCCATTTCACTCAATAATTCCTGAGCACAAATGTCCTCCTCTACCTCCTCCTCTTCTTCCTGTCCTGCCCCCACAGGGGTCATGTGGCGTTGAGATCTGTGCGCCACGTCTACCGCACCCTGACCAGCCATTGTTAACAGCATTTGTTCCAGGACGTGCAACAGAGGAATGACGTCGTTCATCCCATAGTCCTGCCGACTCACGAATAGCGTGGCCTCCTCAAAGGGCCTGAGCAAGCGGGCAGGTGTCACGCATGAGCTGCCAATGGCTGACATCGAAGTTACACAGGGGAGTACCTTTATCCGCTTGTAACATCAGGAAATCGGTGATGGCCTTTCGCTGTTCGTAAAGGCGGTCTAACATGTGTAGGGTTGAATTCCACCTTGTTGCAACGTCGCAGATCAGGCGATGCTGTGGAATTCCGTTCTGCCGCTGCAGCTCAAGGAGGGTGTGCTTTGCGGTGTAGGAATGGCTGAAATGCATGCAAAGTTTACGTGACATTTTAAGGATGTCTTGCAGTGGGATGGTGGATTTTAGGAACCGCTTGACAACCAGATTGAACACGTGAGCCATGCATGGCGCATGGCACAACCTTCCTTGACGCAGAGCAGACACCATGTTCTTTCCGTTGTCGGTCAACATGGTTCCGATTTTCAGTTTGCGCGGAGACAGCCATCTGTCGATTTCTCTGTTCATTACACTCAGAAGTTCCTCCCCTGTGTGACTACGTTCGCCAAGGCATACCAGGTGCAGCACAGCGTGACACCGTTGCGCCCTGCACATGTGATATGCCGGTCGGGTAATGGGACTTGGCACGGGGGTGGCGGCTGAGGACACGGCGGAAGAAGAGGTGGTAGAGGCGGACATCTTTGCCGGACCAAGGACGTGCAAACGTGGAGGCAAAAGCGGCGTGACCTGTCCAAGTTGCTGGTGCGGCTGTGACGGCACCACGTTCACCCAGTGGGCCGTAAATGACATGTACTGTCCCTGACCGTAGTTACAGCTCCACACGTCGGCGCTGCCGTGCACTTTGGCAGAGACCGACATGCTCAAAGACTGGCCCACCATCTCTTCTACATGTGAATGCAGGGCTGGCACTGCCTTTTTGGCGAAGAAATGACGGCTTGGCACTCTCCACCGCGGCGCGGCACAAGCCATCATTTCTCGGAAAGGTGCTGAGTCCACCACTTGGAAAGGGAGGGACTGCAGCACCAGCAACTTGGACAGGAGGACGTTCAGCTTTTGCACCGTCGGGTGCGTGCTCGCAAACTGTTGTCTCTTGGAAACGGATTCCAAGAAAGCTGCTGACGGAATCCGTGAAGAGGAGTAGCAGGAGAAGGAGCATCTGAACGAGCGGAAGATGCCAACGAGCGACAACTCTCCCTCAGCAGAGGTGTTGGAGCCTTGACTGGCTGATGGAGGGCGATTGACGTCGGGTGACGGAGCAAGTAACGGAGCGGGTGATGGAGCGGGGGCTGGGGCGGGCAGAACCGCCGTATCTTTATCACGGTTTTCCCAGGCCACCAAATGGCGACGCTGCATATGCTGCCGCAACGCTGTAGTCCCAACATGGGCCCCCTGGCCACGCTTGACTTTCTGGCCACATAGTCGACATACGGCTACGTTTACTTCCTCGGGCGGCTTGACGAAAAATTGCCACACCGCCGAGTAGGAAACTTTGCCCCCGATACTCCTCACTGGCTGACTGCTGCTTCCTCCGTGCACACCGGCACCACTACTGGCCGTGGTGGTAGGCTGCAGTGGAGCTGGTGCTCTACTCCGTGGCCGTTTGGACACTGCTCCACTGACACTGCTGCGACCCTGCTGCTGTCTCCTGGGCAACCCACCGACTGTTTTGCTCGCTGCCAAGCTGCCACCCTCTTCTCCTGATGATGCGGAAGAAGAAATTGCCTGATGACGACGAGGCTGCCAAGTGCGATCAACCTCCTCATCATCAAGTAGGGTCTCCGCCTCACTACTAGCCCCCTCGGCTGCGTCTGGGTCAGGAGACAGACCTGTCTCTAGACCGGCTACCGAGCCACTCTCCTCGCCACTACTTCTTCGCCTGGCTGCTGAAAAGGCGGATGTCTCCCCCCGTTCCTGACCGCCCTCTGTTAGCTCTTCCTCACTGTACAGTGGGGCTGAGCCCACAGCATGCGATACTTCGCTTGGTGAGGGAACACCAAAGGACAGGGGCAGGTAGAGACACGTGATTTCAGTGGGCTTGGTCCCGGGCCATGCCAACTAACGGTTGTGTCTGACGTACCCACCGACCGTTGGCTGTAGGTTGACCTGGGAAGAGGAAGACGACCGAGCCAACCAATCGACGACGGCAGGGTTGTCGGTGGAGACACGACCGCTGGATGACACCGGGAGCACTGGCCTCTGGCTGCGAATAGTGCTGCCTCGACCCCTTCCTCTGCTGCCACGTCTGCTCGCTCCTAAAACATTGCCTCCTCTGCCACTCCTCTGCATGTTGTCTGACATACTCTTTAATTCAACGATTCTGTGTCCCTGAGTAACAATTCTGTGTCCCTGAGTAACAATTCTGTGTCTGTCCCTGAGTAACAATTCTGTGGCCCTAAGTAACGGTTCTGTGGCCCTCAGTAACAATTCTGTGTCCCTCAGTAACAATTCTGTGTCTGTCCCTGAGTAACAATTATGTGGCCCTAAGTAACGGTTTCTGTGGCCCTCAGTAACAATTCTGTGTCCCTGATTAACGTTTATGTGGCCCTAAGTAACGGTTCTGTGGCCCTCAGTAACAATTCTGTGTCCCTGAGTAACAATTCTGTGTCTGTGTCTGTCCGAGTAACAATTCTGTGCCCTAAGTAACAGTTCTGTGGCCCTCAGTAACAATTCTGTGTCCCTGAGTAACAATTCTGTGGCCCTAAGTAACAGTTCTGTGGCCCTCAGTAACAATTCTGTGTCCCCTGAGTAACAATTCTGTGGCCCTAAGTAACGGTTCTGTGGCCCTCAGTAACAATTCTGTGTCCCTGAGTAACAATTCTGTGTCCCTCCCGAGTAACAATTCTGTGGCCCTAAGTAACAGTTCTGTGGCCCTCAGTAACAATTCTGTGTCCCTGAGTAACAATTCTGTGGCCCCTAAGTAACGGTTCTGTGGCCCTCAGTAACAATTCTGTGTCCCTGAGTAACAATTCTGTGTCTGTCCCTGAGTAACTGTGGCCCCCTGAGTAACTTCTGTGGCCCTAAGTAACAGTTCTGTGGCCCTCAGTAACAATTCTGTGTCCCTGAGTAACAATTCTGTGGCCCTAAGTAGTACGGTTCTGTGGCCCTCAGTAACAATTCTGTGTCCCTGTGCCTCAGTAACAATTCTGTGGCCCTAAGTAACGGTTCTGTGGCCCTCAGTAACAATTCTGTGTCCCTGAGTAACAATTATGTGTCTGTCCCCTGAGTAACAATTCTGTGGCCCTAGTAACAGTTTCTGTGGCCCTCAGTAACAATTCTGTGTCCCTGAGTAACAATTCTGTGGCCCTGAGTAACAATTCTGTGGCCCTAAGTAAACAATTCTGTGGC